GGAGCCCACCACCCCGCGGGCCACGCTGCGGAACACGCGTGCCCCCCGCCCTCGGCTCCGGGCCCGGAGCCCGCCTTACCGACCAGCTGGGAGTAGAACTTGGACACGTCCAGCAGCGAAAGCACACACACCGCCGGACTGGCCAGCGCCGCCATCAGCAGGGGCCCGAGGAACGTCCTGGGCACCACTCCGGGGAACTCCAGGTGGTCGTACTGCGAGGAGAGGGCATCAGGACAGACCCTGGGCGGGTGCCACCGGGCGGGGTCGGGGGCTCACCTTGTCCACCTGCAGCCGGTGGTAGAGCAGGTCGTGCGTGGCCTGCAGGTTGAAGCTCTCCTCCACCTTGGTGTACGGGCAGGTGAGAAGGTGGACAGCGGCGGTCGCCAGCAGCAGCCCCAGGAGCAGTCCCTGCCGGCCCACCCACCTCTTCCCGGCCATCTTGCACGTCCTGGCCTGCAGAGCTCCCGGAACTGTCGACTCCACCGGGGACGTGGCGGGACTGCGCCAGGGACCCTGAGAACCGCTGCGGCCGCCTCTGACTGAAACACAGGGGCACGGAGAGCCGCTCGACAGACACCCCGTGGGCACCACCAGCCCAAACTCGGGCCCGCCTGCGGCTGGCCGGCGGCCCTCCCGCCAGAAGCCCAGGTCTGGGGGGGCAGGAGAGCAGCCCGGCTGGGCCCAGGGTGCCAGGAGGAGACATGGGAGCAGGGGCTCAGGGGTGCACCGGAGAGCCGAGAGGCGGCCAGAGGGCAAGGGCGGCCGGCCCCGGGGAGATGGGGCTGGGGCCGCCCCCTGCTGCCCAGTTTACCGGGGCGATGCCTCCTCCATCTCCCACGATACATGGCAGGCAAAAATCAAACTATGGCTTTGAGAGGTCCGGGCAGGTGTGCCTGGATGGGCAGGAGCCAGCCCCGGGGGAGGAGCCCTAACCCCAGGTGAGGAGCCAGCACCAGGTGAGGAGCACAGCCCCAGGTGAGGAGCCAGACCCAGGTGAGGAGCACAGACCCAGGTGAGGGGCCAGACCCAGGTGAGGAGCACAGCCCC